TGTGGACACTTTCTCAGCAGTTCCTTATATCTCTCTCATGCTTCAATAGTGACTCGTTCTCTTCCTGTAGAAATGATGTGATATCATTTCTCATCTCTATAGATTTCGCTGGAGGGAAATATTTAGTCAGGAACTTTTGTGCCAATTCATTCCAGGTTGTGATTGCTCCTGCTGGTAGTGCCATCAACCATCCCTTTGTTTTATCCCTCAATGAAAAGGGGAATAATCTTAGCCTGATGGCATCATCTGACACTCCATTTGCCTTGAATGTGTCGTAGATCTCTAGGAAGTTTGCAATGTGTGAATTTGGATCTTCCTTTGCATCTCCCCCAAATTGTACCGACTGTTGGATCATTTGGATGATTGCCAACTTTATTTCAAAATTGTTGGCTTGCACCAGTGGTCTAGTGATACTTAGACCACTACCATCAACGGAGGGTGCTGAGAATTCCCTCAAAGTTCTGGTTTCAGCCATCTCAATGACTATTGCCTCTCGTTCTCTTCTCTCTCCAATAAGTCTTCTTGTGGTTCTTTCAATCTTTGGATTAATGGGAACCATTGGATGTTGTTTCACTCTTCGCATAAACTACAAAAGATCACAAATGAATGAAAAGAAACACAAAATTAAACTGAAACTAATTAAAACAAAAATAAAACTCCAATCTAGTGAAAACTAGAAAACTTCAATATTAAAACTAAATCAATCCCCAGCAACAGCACGAAAAATTGTTGCGTATTTTCACAAACATGCAAATGTAGCAAGTGCACTAGTCGCAAAAAGTAATAAAATGATGAATAGAGTATCTTTCCCATGAGGATTGCTTGTTAAGTACTAATTTTCCTAGTTTTGTAACTAGTTGAAGAAAATAAAGATTTTTGGATTTGTGGGAGACAAAAATAGAAATTAACAAAAAATCAATAACGTAAATTAAAATTCTAACAAATTAAAAAATATCAACTGATTACAAAAATATCAATTCAAGACAAAGAGGTTAGGGTTTGACTTCACTAAGTTACTCTGATTCAATCTGCGGTTGATGTTGTTTTTAAACTCACATGCAAGAAATATAAATCGAATTCCCTAAGTTGTAAAACATACCTTCTCATGCTATATTTTCCTACTTATCCCTATTAAGCTTCCGCACCCAACAAAAATGAAGATTAATAGTTCAATGTCTTTTAAGCTAAATGGAACCCTAAAGTGATTTCATAGATCTCCGAACCTATCTCTAGCGTTTATTAAACTATGGTATTTACCCTAAGAGGCTAACACATGAATCACTTCTGATGAGAATGCAAAATGTCATATTTACCCCCCTTAGTGTCTAGTCTTTTATACTTATTTGCTGCCTAAATATACTCATTATTATTCTATTTTGATTCAGGATGCAAATGGAGGCGTTAATTGCAAAATGGAACTAATTAAGTGAATTCAGACAGTTTCGACATTGTTTCGTAATCTGGGCATAACTCTCCCATCCGAGCTCCGATTGAGATGATTCAAAATGTTTTGGAACCCTAAGAAAGAGATTTACAACTTTTATGTTTTGAGTTTGGAGAGATACTCACTGAATCAAGGTTGTAATCAGGCTTAAAGTTGACACACCTGCACTGCTGACGTTCTGGAACATTCTGCCTTGTCATGCAATTCAATTAGTCATATTATTACAAGAAGTTTTGAAGACCTGTTGCATGCAAATTACAGCTGGAAACACCATTTTCCTATTTTGTATTAAGACTTTATTTTATTTTCAATTACTCAGATTAGGATAAATAAAGGTTATTTTGGGATTTTAGAATATTTTTAGGAGATTTAGGTTGAGTAGAATTAGAATTCGAATTAGATATTTTTAAAGGGAGATCAGATTAGGGATTACACATATCACACACGCCTCTCTCTTCTATCTGCTGGTGGATTTTCGTTTTTCCTTGAAATTTTAGTGGTGGCCATGAGTGGTTAAGTTTTATAACTTGGTCGAAGGAAACAAGACCTCGGAATCAATAAACTGTGAGATCAATCTGGTTTTTTACTTTAAGTGTTCAATTTATGTTTGAGTATTGAATGTTCTTCCATGCATATTTTCATGATTGTTGTGTTTAATTACTAAGAGGCCTACTAGTTTATTAATTGTTGTAATCTACTGCTAAGTTAGATATCAAATCCGTAATTGTTTGATTCCTCTAACTTGTGAAGCAATTAGGGTTAATAATTTGCTGCGTCAGGAATTAGTAATTCTTAAGAAGAACACTCGACTAAATTAAATGCAACCGCTTGAGTTTGTGTTGTTTAGCTTCATCGATCTCTCTAGGTCTTAAGGCTGCCACTAGATTAAATCTTTAGAGCTTGTCTAGGGTTGTTTAGTAGTAAGGTTAATTAGATCGCTTGTTTCTTAATTAATTACAACTAAGGAGAGATAGGAAAATAGTTCCAACAGTGAATATTCAGGGTATGAATTGATTTATTTTTGTATCGATGATCAGTTGTAAGATTCCGATGGTGGATGTTGACCTAGACCAAGTTTCGTTATTTGATTGATTTCGATAGTTTAATTTGAATTTTTTTTCTTGAAATTATTTCTGTTTTACTCAAGACCCCCCAGCCTTGTTCATGTAACATTAAACTCGGCTAGACACTCTTCGTGGGAATGATCCCTACTCACACTACTATGTGTATTTTTTAGGGTTTTAATTCTGGGTGCCTACGACAGCACGCCAGATTTTGGCGCCGTTGCCGGGGAGTGATTCTATTTTTTTTTTTTTTTTGTTCTTGTGATTCTAATTTCGTTGTTGTTATTTTTCAGAAAAAACAAAATTTTTGGCAGTACTATTCACGGCAGTATTTTTGGTGGAACTAGGAGTGGTGTGAGTACCCGTTTTGAAGAAAACGAAATTCTAAACAAGACTAGTAAATCCGTTCAGGATTCACTAGCGACACCCTCTCGAGGCCAAAAAACAACGTTTGATAGGGTTTTTGGTCATAAAAAAAAATTAATTTAATTTTCTAGTCAGTTTTCATTATTTGTCATTTATTTTTCCTATTTCTTTTATGAGGTTTTTTCTTGTATGACTAGGTCCTCCCATCTTGGTGATTTAACATTTGACCCAGAATTAGAGAGCACTTTGCGCAGGTTAAGGAGGGAAGCTCGGAGAAATTCTGAGGAAATCAATTTGGTTTTTGATTCCCAATTTGCTAGCAATTCTTATTTAGAAGAGGAGGATGTCATGGCTAGAAATCAAACTTTGAAAGAGCTTGCTGCCCCTGATTTGAATCAAGCACCTTTATGCATAACGTTTCCTGTTTTAGATGCTACTACTACTTTTGAATTGAAATCTGGACTAATACATCTCTTGCCCACTTTTCATGGCCTCACAAGCATTTAAAGGGGCTTCATGTGGTTTGCACGAGTATGAAACCTACGAGGGTGACCGAGGAGCAAATTAAATTAAGAGCCTGGCGTGCTGTCATAGGCACCCAGAATTAAAACCTAAAAATACACGTAGTAGTGCAAGTCAGGGTCGATCCCATGAAGAGTGTCTAGCTGAATTTGCTGTTATGTGAACAAGGCTGGGGGTTTTTTTGTAAAAACAGAAAACGTTTCCAGGAAAAGAAAACAACTCATATCGAAATCAATTAAAATGACGGAACTTGGTCTCCGTCAACATCCACCATCGGAATCTTACAACTGATCATTGACGCGAAGATAATCAATTCACACATTGAATATTCACCGTTGGAACTAATTTCCTATCTCTCCTTAATTGTAATTAATCAGGAAACAAGCGATCCTAATTAATCTTACCCCTAAACAACCCTAGACAAGCGCTCAAGATTTAATCTAGTGGCAGCCTTAAGAATTAGAGAGATCGACGAAGCTAAACAACACAAACACAAGCGGTTGTATTTAATTTAGTTGAATGTTCTTCGTAAGGTTACTAATTCCTGACGCAGCAAATTACTAACCCTAATTGCTTCACAAGTTGGAGGGATCAAACAATTACGGATTTGATATCAAACTTAGCAGTAGATTTCAACAAATAATACACTAGTAGGCCTCCTAGTAATTAAATGCATCAATCATGAAAATATGCACAGAATAACATTCAATACTCAAACATGAATTTAACACTAAAAACAGAAAGATCTCACAGTTTATTTGATTCCGAGGTTTCCGTTTCCTTCGACCAAGTTACAAAAGTTCTAGCCGCTCATGGCCATCACAAAAACTCAAGAGAAAGAAAATTCCAGAGAAGAAAAGAGAGAGAGGCGTGGTCCTCTTTCCCCCAAAACCTAATCTGATCTCTTTAGCAAAAATCCAGATTTAAGTGTTTGAATCCCACTCAATCTCCTAAAAGAAATATTCTCCTATCCTAAAATAACATTAATCCTAATTTAATTCTAATTGGAACTAAAATAAAATAGAGTCCTAATAAAATAGGAAAGTGGTGTTTCCAGCTGTAATTTTCGTGCAGCATGTATGTCTTCAAAACGTGCAATAATAGACTGACTTGCATAACAAGTCAGAACGCTCCAGGACGTCGGTAATGCAGGTGCGTCAACTTCAAGCTCAATTACAACCTTGATTCAGTCAGTATCTCTAAAAACTCAAAACATGAAAGTTGTAGATCTCTTTCTTAGCGTTCCACAGAACTTTGAATCATCTCAATCGGAGCTCGGATGAGAGAATTATGCCCAGAATACGAAGCAGTGGCGAAACTGTCCGAATTCCCCTAATTAATTCCGTTTTTCAATTAACACCTCCATTTGCTTCCTAAACCAAAATAAAGTAATAATGAGTACAATTAGGAAACAAATACATATAAAAGACTAAACATTAAGGGGGTTAAATATGACATTTTGCATTCCCATCAGAGCCTTTCCATTTTCTTTGAAGGATTCAGCTAAGGATTGGCTCTATTATCTACCCTCTGGGAGTATTACCACATGGAACAAGATGAAGAGGTTGTTTCTGGAGAAATATTTCCCAGCTTCAAGGGCGGCAAACATTCGGAAAGAAATTTGTGGTATAAGGCAACAAAGTGGAGAGTCTCTACATGAATATTGGAAACGTTTTAAGAAATTTTTTGCAAGCTGCCCCCATCATCAAATTAGTGAGCAGCTACTTATCCAGTACTTCTATGAGGGCCTTACATACACTGATAGGTGCATGATTGATGTTGCAAGTGGAGGAGCTTTGATGGATAAGACTCTTGAGGCCGCGAGAAACTTGATTGCAAATATGGCAGCCAATTCTCAACAGTTTGGGAATAGGCTTGACCTTCTATCTAGGCGTGATAATGAGGTAAATATTTCTTCCCTTGAACAACAAATCTCGAGTCTAACTTCTCTTGTTCGTCAAATGGCTGTAGGTAACATGCAAACAATGAAGGCTTGTGGAATTTGTTCGGTAGTAGGGCATCCAACTAATATGTGCCCAACTCTTCAAGAGGAGCCTGTTGAGCAAGTGAATGCAACAGGTGGTTTTCTTGGACAACCGCAAAGGAAGTATGATCCCTATTTGAGCACATATAACCCGGGATGGGGGGATCACCCCAATCTTGGCTATGGGAATCAACAAGTGAATCAACCCCACCCTCAAAACTGCCCAAATTACTAGCAGTTTAAGCAGCCATACCCCCCTAGACAACTACCAGAACAAACTTCTAATTCTGGTATGTCTTTAGAAGATATTGTTAAGTCTCTTGCTACTAATACTTTGCAATTTCAACAGGAGATAAGGGCCAATGTTCAAAGTTTGGAGAATCAGATAGGCTAGATGGCAACCACAATAAGTAAGTTGGAGGCACAAATTTCGGGGAAATTACCCTCTCAAACGGTGGTAAATCCAAGAGAAAATGTAAGTGCGATCATCTTAAAAAGTGGTAAAGAGGTTGAGATTCCAGTAAAGGCAACCCCTGCATCATCGAAGGAAGAGAAGGAGAAAAACGTAGTTGTAGACAAGAATGTTCCCAACGACGATGGTGTTCCTAAGAGTAAGTTTCCACCTCTGTCCGATTATAAATCGGTACCATCTTTTCCTCAAGCTTTAGCAGAATCTAGAAAAGATGAGCAATACAGAGATTTATATGAGAGTTTTTGTAGATGCGAGGTAAATATCCCACTTTTAGATGCTATTAAACAAGTACCTCGTTACGCTAAATTCTTGAAAAAACTATGTACAATTAAGAGGAAACAGAAACTTCAGGGGTGTGAAAAGGTGAGAGTAGGAGAAAATGTTTCTGTAGTGATTCAGAGAAAATTTCAAGTGAAGTGCAAAGATCCAGGTATGTTTACTATCCCTTGTACGATAGGTAACACTAGGTTTGAGAAGGCCATGATAGATTTAGGAGCTTCTATTAATGTCATGTCATATTCTATATATGCTTCTTTGAAACTTGGACCTTTGAATAAAACTGGTGTTGTGATTCAATTAGCTGATACATCTAGTGCCTATCCTAAGGATGTAGTTGAGGATATTCTGGTACAAGTTAATGACTTAGTTTTCCCTACTGATTTCTATGTGCTTGATATGGAAAATAGTGATCAAACTGCTCCTATTTTGTTAGGAAGACCTTTCTTAAAAACATCCAAGACTAAGATAGATGTTCATAGTGGCATACTTACCATGGAATTTGATGGTGAAACAGTCAAGTTTAATATTTATGATGTCATGAAATATCCTGATGATGATGATGATAATCTTGTTTATTCTATTGATGTGATTGATTCTTTAGCATAGGAAGTTTTTGAATTTGATGGAAAAGATGGATTGGGAGTTGCCATTAGTAAGCATCTTGAGGAAGAGAATGAGGAGTTAGCTTTGAGTACTAATTTGCAGGAAACTGTTGCAGCGTTGAACAATTCTCCAAAGTCATAGCAACAGTCAGGTAACCTTACCCTCTGTTTTGCAATCACCCATTCCAGATTTGAAGCCTTTCCCTAGTTACCTCAAGAACGTGTTCCTTGGAGACGGAGGAACGTTATCAGTGATCATCTCTAGTAAACTCAGTGCATCGCAAGAAGAAAAGGCTTGAGTCGAGTCAACGACAATAAACAAAGGCGCTGCTTGCGAGGCAACCCAAGGGGAGTTTTGTTTTCTTATTCTCGCATTTTAAATTTTGGTTATTTTTTCCTTTTCTTTGCATTTCATCTTACATTGGGGACATTGTCAATTTTAAGTGTGGGGGAGGGGATTAGGTTGTGTTTTTAAAAAAAAAAAAAAAAACAAATAGTTTTTTGTTTTTAAGAAGGTTTATGCTTTAAGTCATGTCTTTGAACGTCTAGTGATGCATGAAATAGTAACTTGACTTTGTTATTGAGCATATTCCTTTACTTAGGATGTTAGCAACATTTCATAAAATAGAGTTAATTAGATTTGAATCTTTGTAGTTTTGAAACAATATGTCTTGAGAAGTTGTGTGAACTTGGTGACGAAGCATGATTGAGGAGTGTATAACAACCCTTAAAAGAAAAAAAAAAAAAAAACAATTGTTTCTCTTAAGCTAGTCCTAAATTTGGGTTTAAGCAAATAGAAAAAAGAAAAGAAAGGTATGTGGTGAGTCGAGGTGGAGCATAAAACTCACTCACTCATAAACACAACCATGAAATGAGATGGAGCATAAAATGCACTCAATCTTTTTCAAACAGAAAAAAAAAAAAGAAAAAAGAAATCCGTAGTTTGCTACCCAGTTTGTAGTAGTAAAGAGAAACAGTTGAGGAACAAGTTGAGAGGTGAGTTGTACATGAATTGGTTGTGATTAGTTTCCTTGTTTGCAGTGACTGATTGAGAGTAATTGTAGAAAATGACGAAGAGAGATGAATGTCATTAACTCTACTTTATTTTATTTTGTTGCTGACTAAGTTAGGTATGAATATACATGGATTAAATATTGTTGCTTATGCATCATGATGGTGTTCTTGATATGACTTGAGTGTAGTGTTTGTTTGAATTAGTTTGCCCGAGGACGTGCAAAAGCTAAGTGTAGGGGAATTTGATGAGAATGCAAAATGTCATATTTACCCCCCCTTAATGTCTAGTATTTTATACTTATTTGCTGCCTAAATATACTCATTATTATTCTATTTTGATTCAGGATGCAAATGGAGGCGTTAATTGCAAAACGGAACTAATTAAGTGAATTCAGACAGTTTCGACATTGTTTCGTAATCTGGACATAACTCTTCCATCCGAGCTCCGATTGAGATGATTCAAAATGATTTGGAACCCTAAGAAAGAGATCTACAACTTTTATGTTTTGAGTTTTGAGAGATACTCACTGAATCAGGGTTGTAATCAGGCTTAAAGTTGACACACCTGCACTGCTGACGTTCTGGAACATTCTGCCTTGTCATGCAATTCAAGTAGGCAAATTATTACAAGAAGTTTTGAAGACCTGTTGCACGCAAATTACAGCTGGAAACACCATTTTCCTATTTTGTATTAAGACTTTATTTTATTTTCAATTACTCAGATTAGGATAAATAAAGGTTATTTTGGGATTTTAGAATATTTTTAGGAGATTTAGGTTGAGTAGAATTAGAATTCGAATTAGATATTTTTAAAGGGAGATCAGATTAGGGATTACACATATCACACACGCCTCTCTCTTCTATCTGCTGGTGGATTTTCGTTTTTCCTTGGAATTTTAGTGATGGCCATGAGTGGTTAAGTTTTATAACTTGGTCGAAGGAAACAAGACCTCGGAATCAATAAACTGTGAGATCAATCTGGTTTTTTACTTTAAGTGTTCAATTTATGTTTGAGTATTGAATGTTCTTCCATGCATATTTTCATGATTGTTGTGTTTAATTACTAAGAGGCCTACTAGTTTGTTAATTGTTGTAATCTACTGCTAAGTTAGATATCAAATCCGTAATTGTTTGATTCCTCTAACTTGTGAAGCAATTAGGGTTAATAATTTGCTGCGTCAGGAATTAGTAATTCTTAAGAAGAACACTCGACTAAATTAAATGCAACCGCTTGAGTTTGTGTTGTTTAGCTTCATCGATCTCTCTAGGTCTTAAGGCTGCCACTAGATTAAATCTTTAGAGCTTGTCTAGGGTTGTTTAGTAGTAAGGTTAATTAGATCGCTTGTTTCTTAATTAATTACAACTAAGGAGAGATAGGAAAATAGATCCAACTGTGAATGTTCAGGGTATGAATTGCTTTATTTTTGTATCGATGATCAGTTGTAAGATTCCGATGGTGGATGTTGACCTAGACCAAGTTTCGTTATTTGATTGATTTCGATAGTTTAATTTGAATTGTTTTTCCTAAAATTATTTTTGTTTTACTCAAAACCCCCCAGCCTTGTTCACGTAACATTAAACTCGGCTAGACACTCTTCGTGGGAACGATCCCTACTCACACAACTACGTGTATTCTTCAGGGTTTTAATTCTGGGTGCCTACGACAGCACGCCAACTTCTCGGTCTCGTCATGCTCAACATTTAATTGAAATATGGAAAACTCATATTCAATTTCATTAGGAACAAGAATAAATACAAAATCCAATGCAATAGAACATAAAAACAACATCTAAAATAGATTAAACCACTGTAATCAAAGTTAGGTCAAACCCTAACCCAAAAGTGGATTATTTCATATTTAAATTAAAGAAATTCGGATAATGGACTGTAAGTCAAGAATTCAACATACTAAAAACAGTAAGAAGAGAATGAAATCTTCCCTAAATAAAGACCCAAAATTGCTCCAACCTCCAATTTCTTCCTCTTCTTCTCTCAAAATCTGAACTCCCTCAAAAATGAGCTAAGGCTCTCTTAAATAGTCGGCCAAAACCCTAGGATTCTAATGTAATACATTTAAAATGCAACGTTTTAATAAACAGAAGAATTGCAGCTTTTGTCGTGAAATCTCATTGAACCATTTGACCCGAGGCTAGGTTGCCGCGGTAGAGAATTATCTTCGACACGACGAACTTTACTCATCTTTTCTAAAATTATGAAACTACCCTCCACTTGCTTCTTCGCTTGAATATTTGATCTTCATGATCCCCGATAGGAACAAGCTTCATAGTGCTTCCACTCCGCATCAGAATTTCCCCGATTCCTAAATTTCTCTTTATTCTGGGTCTAGAAACTCAATTTTC